TAAATTTAATGCCGCTTATTTTGAAAACTATACTGAAAATATGAGCTGAAAGCCTATCATTGTATAAGTATAATTTTATTTCATATCATTGATGAAACACTGGTGTCTATCTATCAATTATTAATTTATTAATCTTTTGCGTCCATCTACGAGATGATTTTCCTGCAAATAAAAGGAAATCATGAAAAGAGATTTAAATATGACGATACGAAAGTTAGCAAATYTAAAGAACATGAAGAAGTCTCTTTTGTGAGGGTCTCAATGGGGTTAACCGTGACCCGTGAAACGACTGCAAAATTAGCCATGAGTCGTGAAAATGACACCCCACATTGAGACCCTGTTTCGCGGTCTCTGCTGTTGTCGGGTTTCCTGTCCCTTTCGCCGAGATCGGAAGTTACGACTGTGAAAAAGACCAATAAGACGAATAGAGCGAGAAAAGGGAAGGCTTGAAGGAAAGCAATCAGTTTGTTAATACTTTAAAGGCCCAGTGTGCATCATTATGCTTTKGGGGCGGCCGGGATGAGGCCATTTTCAGTTTACCGAAAGTCTATAAATTGTACTGTGTGTTTCGAATCTTTGACCATCGCACTTTTCTAAGCACTTTAAACGCTGATATAAGAGTTTTTAACCATCTGAAATTTATGGTGACATTTGGTACTAGAAGTAATTTGGTGTAAATTATAACAATAAAAGGGCGCGCAAAGCATAATGGGGCAAACTGGGCCTACTCATTACCTTATCTATTTGCGTAGCTTTGTTTCCTTGATGTTTGTCCTCCCAGTGAAGGTAAACACTCCTTTCCAGGTCCCACGGATGGTTGCCGCGCCCAAAAAGTTATTCTTTTCGTCGAAGTACTTTTCTTTCGCTACATATGGAATGTCCAGTTTGTAGGTGAAGATGTTTACTGTGACTTTGACGTCTGTTTTTGGTGGGACCTATCCATGTTGAAACGGAAGAATGAATTAGGGACGATCGAGTCACATGACCTTGATGCATAATGGTTAGCGATGGTGCAATATTAAAATAAAGGATTACTTTACAATCTAACAATAGTTACCACAAAGTTCTTTGTGTATGTGATTTCCTTAGTTTCTTCCCGTTTGTTACAAGTTGTGTATGATCCGTAGGCYTCTGCTTCGATGCTTGCCTCCCATTTTGCAATAGCATCACTCAAAAGACCGGATTTATAGGACACGGTAACTTTGACACGCCATCCGTGTTCCATGGAGTAAGATGAAGATGTTTTCCTTGTATACTTTTGTACAAACGTCCATGTATGGTCTCTTGAGCCYCCGTTTCTGGTTTCATCTGATGAAGAAAACAGAGCATGCGCTGTCAATCTGATCAAAAGATGTAAGATACCAATATTTCTAGCTAAATCACGCGCACAAACGACACGTTTCACGTGATAGAGGTGTGTATGTACTATATCGTCAGCTGAAACCATTGCGCATTTTCCTCTGYATTTTGCCTCAAAGTATTTGGAGTGCTCTATGGACATTTTGTGATATAARAAGTAAGATCCTAGTGTGCTTTGTAGTAAAAGACCGGAACATCATTTAACCGATCGTAGCACACTCCAAGCTTTACTGACCTGTCAATATCAATGCTGGCTTTTGATAGCCTGAAGCTGTAACAGGGTCARCATGGGTTATCTCTACTTCTCTTCTGGCCACTTTGCTTAAACACAACACCTTTGCATTTTTGTTTGTATATAATGAGTTGAAGTAAAATACTTTATGACAGTAAGTGGCCCATGATGACCCGCGGTCCTCGTTACATCCTCCCAAAATGTCCATATTTTTCCATCCCTGTGAACATGTCTTCAATCTTGCTTGCTTCAGAWAACAGAACACTTGAGATGACGATTCATCATATTTGACTGGYGTGCAAGGCTTTGTGTTGTAATGAAAKTCCTTGTAATCTACCCACTTGTAATCCTCGCCATTGTCCTTATAGCCACCTTTGAATTTCCTAAAGCGTGAAAACATAAGATTATTCAGTAAAAACGTGAAACATTGCTAATTAATGCTGGTATGTARTACGCTGTTCGTCGAAAGACCGATGACATTAGATGTGAAGAGTTTGGTCTGAAAATTGGTCCTCTTATTCAAACCAATAGCGCGCGAGAACTCACACGATTGAGCTAAAAAATGCATTTGGATTTATACCTCATTTGCTAACAGACGCACAATTTGTTTGGAAAAATACTCGTGCTTTTTAACAGACAACAATCGCCTTGTTCTGGCAATCGTCTTGAAAGGAAATCAGAAAAACTTGAACTCCTGAAACCCGTGCCAAACCATTCTCCCCCCCTCTCCCCTCCGCCCGACACATGAACTCGTCGTACCTAAGGTAATAGAATTGATTGCTACCAAATCTTGATTCAATGACATAGGTCCCATAGAAAAAGCTGTGATGTACTGTTGGAAACCACGCTGTACATTGACTGGACGATGTGGAAGCTCTTCCAACGATTTTTCCTGTCGAGACTGCAGGAATATGCCAATAACGAGGGTCCTTAAAACCATCAYTTGATGGTCTTCCAACGCACTTTGACCAGCGACCATTGCCTTCAGCACCAGCCATCATGACAAACAGCACTGTGGTTATTACTATAGCAACCATGTTTATCTGAAAAAGCACAAGATACAATTTTTCTCAGAATTTTTAGAGTAAATGACGGTAATTAATAGCTCTGCCCTACAATGTCGTTCTTGATTTACATCAGTTTTGAGTCAGAATTTCTTGACCGTGAGTGACTCTCAACGAAAACCTTTCTCCTTTTAAAATCGTAGTGCATTATTCTCACAGAAAAAAATGACCTCACTCATGTGAAATTTGTTGTTACCTTTTTAGTATAAGCTCTACTCTTTCCTTCACTCGTATCAAAATCTTAGTTTGTTACCGCCTGCATCAAAGATTCCCAGAGAATGAGGTAGTGCCTGGAAGATTGCCGTTATATAATTACCTCACTAATTGATAATTCATAAGGTGGACGTCCAATCAGGATTTGCTATCTAGGTCACATGTTTTCATCATATTTAGTCTTAGTGTAAACTAAAGTCACAAGGAGAGCTAATTCCTGAGCAGAGAACAAGCGAGAAAATGAATGATAACAATAGATAGGTCAACGGCTTAATGAAGTAACTGATTTTACTAATTCTACCGGTCCAGGGACGACGGCTTCTTTGTTAGTAARAGATGGTAGTACGACGCAAAATATTTCAATGTCTCTTGTCGACAAAGACAYGCAATTACACACAAAAAGGTTACATAACCTATAGCTCTCAATGACTCAKCACCTTAGAAACTCTGCAGTAACATTCTTGGTGTGCAACCAAATGACCAGAAATCCCCTGAGAAATAAAGAACAAAGCTATCGCCGGATGAATGACAAGAGAAACTAGCAATGCTTTGCGATCTTAATCACACATGGCGACATCACTGGAAAAATCGCGCCCATTAAAGGTTGTAAATTTGATGTAAATATCAGAAATATGATGTAAGTGTCCAAAATTCTGTAAATTTAATGGAAATCAATCATGGCGATTTTTTCCAGTTCATAGTTAATGGCGGTGGTGCTGATGYAGCTTGTTTGCCAAGAATAGACATGCATAATGATAGTATCAACAGCTTTGAAATTTGTTTCTATTGTTCCATTACTCATTGGTATTTTTAGGGGCCACGCACATCTTCAACAAGAGTGCGGTATCTTTTAGGGGTTCTACGAACTGTTACAAGCTTATCTGTAAATAACAAAGGCTCTGAACTATGATACTAAATTTTACACTCATGAATTAACCTCATATATTTCTATTGTAAGCTTTGTGTGTCGTGGTGCACTTTTTAGCCTTCTGAATATGAAATATTTCATTATATATTTAGAAAGAGAGTTGTTGTGACATGACGAAAGGCCTTATGGTGCCTCTCGTCACCATGTCAACATGTTGAACCGTAGCCATCCACTTGTAGCAGGCGTTCCTTGCGAGTCCTTGATATTTTTAAATTGGAAACAGAGTAACAACAAGAAAGAAAAAGAATAAAAGAAAAAAAGAAAGAAACAAAAAGAAAAAAACGAAAAAAAACACCAAACAATGAAAATGCAAAAAAAAAAAAAAAAAAAAAAAAAAAAAAAAAAAAAAAAAAAAACAACAACAACAACAACAACAACAACAACAACAAACAGATAACCCCTGCAGCTGGGCTTGAACTCAGAACTTTCACTTCAGGTGAAGATGTACCCCCCCGGAATACATAAGAAATAATGAAAATAAAAAAAATAAAAAGAAGGGACGATTCCCCCGAGACATTCTATGAAGCTGAGGCRKCGAATCGGCTTACGTTACGGTTAGAGATTTCGGCTCTTCCACGCTATCCCGAGTGAACATAAAACTTAGTCTTAACCAAAAGGCCAGGGAGTGAGGGGGAAGCCGCCCACTAGAGCATACCTTTAGCTACCCTCTTAGACCATCGTKCTATGAAGTCACTGATAGTTAGCAAATACCTAATCGGGATAGTCTATCCGGCGATGTTCTATGCTAATATATGACGTCACAAAAACCCCTAGGGAGCAGTCAGCCAATCAGAGCTCAAATCAGGAATTAGCAAAGCCAAAGGATACAGGGTTTGCATAATCATTCTTCAGTGGATTTATTTTTTGATGGGGGTGGGGATGGGTGCTCGATCATGAGTGCTGGTTTGCCGCCGAATACCAAAACATTGATGAGCTTTGACGGTCTTTAATTCACAGAGCAGTTCAATTGTCGTGTACAGTTTCTTAWWTCAGACAGACATTACTAGTATTCGGATAAACAGCACGACAAAAATCTCTTGAAATTCTTTAACGTAAGTGGTTAGAAGGACCAGGCAGGTAGAAGCTGTTGCCAAAGATTTGTCGTGAACGAAACACAACTGATGACCGCCGAAACTCCAACATTACACTCGAACGTTCCATGTTTTCGTTCTTGATGATATAAACGTTTGCAAATGGAATAATATTGATTATCAAATACTATAAATGCAAATATAGTGAATGCTAGTTTTATTGCAAAACTATAATCAGGCGAATGAGAGTAATTAACATGGATGTAAAAATACAGTTTGAATAATATWAACATTCAATCGAAGAACACGTTCAAGAGTTTTTCATGAGTTTATAAAGTCAACAGATACAGAAAGATGTCTTTGACTACAGCTAAATTAAAGATCTAAGGACTCCATGTCGTGGAAAAAAAATTCCTTTTCTGAATCTGTCAGACGCGGAAACGGGGCGCCCCGCGTCAGGCTCCACGGGAGGAATGTTCAACCCCTGGCCCCTGGGAATCGTCGCCTGGTGTGTCTTGGTAGAAACGTAACGGTTGATCGCCGATGCTTCCAGTTTCTTGTAGCGCATTAAGAGAGCGAAATGCATCGTGGGTTTTTTCACCGTTCAAAAGGAGTTTCATGGTTTCACAGTGACTGACTCCGTGTTGTAGTCAAGAGCGTAGCTTCCAAAAAAAGCAATTAAATGTAGAATTACAAAACTTTTAAGAACGACGCAATACAATAGAATGCAATAGAGTGATCGCACTTAATCCGTGCAACTGTACAAATTAAATAGTTCTATTTAGTTGTATTTAGTAAATCGTGCATGCGGTACGCAACTTAATAATTGAATTGACTCAAATGAAGCATTCAATACCATCTTGTCTCAGTTCAAATATACAAAATCGAAGTAGTACTAATTTGTACTAAAAGTGGACCTGAAGCAAGATGGTATCGAATGCCTTATTTGTATCAATTCAAAGTAATTTGCGTACCACATGCACGATTTACTAAATACAACTAAACATCACTATTTAGTTTGAACAGTTGCCCGGATTAAGTGTGATCACTCTACAATGCAATGCATAATTTTGTCCGAGTATTGGACAAAGAAAGCAGTTTTCACCTATGTCCCGATTTCTGCCCATTAATTCCTCGGTCTGCAGAGTTTCTCAGGTGCTGAGTCATTGAGAGCTATAGGTTATGTAACCTTTTTGTGTATAATTGCGTGTATTTGTCGACAAGAGACATTGAAATATTTTGCGTCGTACTACCATCTTTTACTAACAAAGAAGCCGTCGTCCCTGGACCGGTAGAATTAGTAAAATCAGTTACTTCATTAAGCCGTTGACCTATCTATTGTTATCGCTCATTTTCCTCGCTTGTTCTCTGCTCAGGAATTAGCTCTCCTTGTGACTTTAGTTTACACCAGACTTAATATAATGAAAACACGTGACTCAAATAGCAAATCCTGATTGGACGTCCAACTTATGAATTATTAATGAGTTATGCCATTATATAACGACAAGATCTTCCTGAAAGTCGCATTCTCTCGGAAGTTTTGTACGAACAGCAATACTGGAAATCGAGACGTTTTTAAAAAGTATGTTAGAACTTATAATTAACCAAACTTAGTCCAATTTATTCCGAGTAAGGTCATTTCTTCTGTGGCGATAACGCCTTACTTTTGGAAAAAGAAAAAGGTTTTCCTGATTTTGACTCAAAAGCTGTTTAAATTAACATGCATTGTATATGGACAGTCCTTTCAGTGGTCGTATTTAACGAGACTCAAACGTAACAAGGTTTTCTTGTGACTTTTCAGATAAACATGGTTGCTATAGTAATAATAGTGCTGTACATTATGATGTCTGGTGCTGAAGGCAAGAATGGTTACTGGTCAAAGTGCGTTGGAAGACCAACAAGTGATGGTTTTAAGGACCCCGCATATTCCTATACACCAGCCTCGGTAGGAAAAGGATTACCTGTTGGAAGAGCTCGAACATGGTCCTCTACATGTA